TATCGAAAAAATCCAAAAATTTGAAAAAATCCGAGGTTTATTAGTTTGGTTTGATTTATAAATTTGACACAATGGTTTGGTTTGGTATTTGAAAGACCCGAACCAACCCGAGGTTGAAAACCCGAAAAAAATCCAAATTTTATTAGTTTGGTTTGGTTTATATATTTAAAAATTTTACACAAAGGTTTGGTTTGATATTTAAAAAACCCGAACCAACCCGGTCATGTACACCCCTAACTTGAATGATGAAATTGTGTATAAATATTATATATCTATATTAATTGCAAACATTAAGTTCGGATAAAAATAATAATCTAGAGACGCTCTCAAAAATTTCCCAAAATTAAATTATTTTTGTGGTGAAAATTCCACTATTTTATACTCTTTCTGTTCCAAAATAAGTGTCATTTTAATTTATTTCATGTTTATTAAAAAGATACAAAATATAATTTACTAAATTACCTCTATTTATTAGATTTTTTAAAAGAATTGAGCACGTATGCAATATTAAGAAAAAATAGTTAGCATTTAATATAAATATAATTGTAAACAATATACTTTGTCTTTAAACTTATAGAATGCAAATTTTATTTTGGATAAAAAAAATAAATCGTAGTGGACATTTATTTTGAGGGAGTAGCTTTTAGACCACTCAATAGTAGTAGACAAAATCAGCTCGGTCCCATTTTAAAGGACTTTGCTCCATCTTATCATTTCTCCTACCACTTAATATTTATATCTATGTTCGATATCTGTATTGAAACCTAATTAATTCAAATTTGTATTATATATGGCCTCAATCGAGAGACAATGCTTCTATTAAGAATCTTTCATATGCAAAATTCGAAATAGAGACCTTTAGTTAAGGAATAAACAAACTCATATGTTGTTTTACGTCCTTCGGTGATATTTCCTATGTAATATTACAATGTCAAAAGATTTTAATCTCAATTTATGTGATATATATTATTAACTAAAAATATAATATGAAATTTATTTTTAAAACTTATGATTTAAACACGTCGTCCAAATTTGTGCACTTGCATATTTTATGTATTTCACTAAGGATTAAACTTAAATTGAGTTGTTTTTAAATATAAAAAAACAACTTTTTTTTGGATAAATTAAATTATGCCTCCGTTTTCAATTTCTCCTATACGTATACGTTTTCCCTTTCTTAGGTACTATTAATAACCATATTAAATGAACAAGTAATTTGTTATGTACAAGTACAATGTATAATCTTAATAATCAAAACCGTTTTGTCATTGAACTTAGCCATAATTAAGAGTTAAGTTATGTTACGGAATGTTTCATTTGTTCTAATAACGTTTATTATATACGGTATATAGTTTCAATATATTTGTTTACCCTCAAAATGATAAAATATGAGTTTTTAGACGTGATTCAAAGACACGAAAATTGAGATGCTCAAAACACATAGATTGTGTGCTATACCTTGTTTAATTAGCGTGAATAAAGTAAAAAAGAAATAACGACTAATTGAATTGAAAAAACAAGATAAACAAACGAGAAGAGCCTGAATTTTGATACTATTGGCTGACAGCTCACCAATAAATTTCAACTGTTGATATTCTTTAGAACCATGTAATCACCAATTTCAGAGCCTGAGAATACAAAGTAAGGGGTCGTTTGGTAGAGTGTATAAGAATAATGCTGAATATGATGTATTAGTAATGCATGCATTAGTTATGTTTGCATTATTTCTTATACATTGTTTGGTTTGATGTATTGGAAATAGCAAGCCTTGTATAAAGACTATTAAAAAAATATTTGTTTACAAAAATACCCCCACATTCTTTTACAATAATAATAATAATAATAATAATAAATAATAATATTATTATTATTTATTATTATTATAATTATTATAATTATTATAATTATTATAATTATTATAATTATTACATAATTATTATTATTATTATATTATTATAATTATAATAATAATAATAATAATTATTATTATTATTAGAGGGTAGTTTTGTCATTAGTTAATCTAATGCATGCATTAAAACCATTGCATTGCTAATACCTAGAAATCCATGGTATTAACAATACACATCTTAATACACAATAGAGTGTATAACTAATGCAAGCATTAGTTATACATAGGTTGGAAAAGAGTACCAAACAAGGTACTAGTAATACACAATGCTAATGCATGCGTTATTTTTCCTAATACACTCTACCAAACGACCCCTAAGAGTATATGCTTTCCCTTAGTGTTCAAGACAATACTTTACATTAATCCTGCAGAATTACGTTTGATATATTCTTCTTGATATGTGTCACATCTTATTAACTCATGTCATTCCTATCTAATTTTACCTCATATAATATTATTATATTTTATTTAATAAAATAGATATAATAGGTTACTATATTGAAGATTTGTTTTTGTAATTTGTCAATTTCAATCCATGTATTACTATTTAATAAAACATATTCTTATGTTCATTTTGGTAAAGAGGCAAACTGATCTTATGAAGTGAAAAAGAAAGGAAAAATAAAACACGAAAGCTTCCCAATTGAGTAATGTAAGAATAATTAGGATTTTTGCATTCTTAATCACAAATTTCAAATTTAAATTTTATAATATAATATGTGTATTAAAAATTAATCAGATCTAAAAACTGATTATCTTATTGGTAATGCGTCTAATAATCATAATATCACATCACATCGGCTCGCACAAATAATGAACGACACCCTGACCCATACCGTTTACTTTATTTACTATTATCTTCGTTTCATATTACTTGATCATTTTCTTTTTTAGGCATATTAAGAAATCATAAATAATAACATAATTTTATTAATTACCTTTTAAGAACTTTTTGATAATTTTACCAATAACTGTGAACACTTTAAGAAAAAAATAATTGTAAAAGTAATATAGAAAAACTTTAATTAATCTTTTCTTGATTTAGTAAGTAAGGTGGATAATTAATATGAAATAATTATTTTTAAAAGGAACAAAAATATCTCCTGTTTATGATTTGGTCCAAAAATGTCCTTATTGTTATTTTATGGGTAAAAAATACTCATTTTCCAAATAAATAAATATATATATATATACACTTTTTTTTTCTAATAATTTTTTTTTAAATTAGTAAATGTTTATCCTACTTCAATTCAAAAAAAATAAAAAATTCTTATTTTGTAATAATTATTTTTTATCGTTATATAACAAAAATTAATGTTGGATATACTATGCTCTTATATACATGACATATATTATCCATCGAGAGGGTACATGAAATTATTCTATTTTAATTGATAAAATGAGATTAAGAAGAAAAAAATTATTTCCTATATTTTTATTTGTTAAAGTAATTTTAAAAGAAAGAAAACAAGAATAGAGTTCCTTAATAATATTTGAATTAGGAAGAAAATGTGTTTAAAAGAAAATAAATAATATATTTATTAAAAAAGGATATTTTTGATTCATTTAGTAACTATAGGAGCATTTTTAGAGCAAATTATTAGCTGTAAAGACATTTTTCTTTTAAGTATTGACGACAAATGCATTTTTAAACCAAACTACTATAAATGAAGAATATTTTTATTCATTTCACATAATTTAAAAATATTTTTAATTTTTAAAAAAAATGATCAATTAATATAAAACAAACTGAATAATAAAAAGTAACCAGGGTTACCAATGGATGGTGAGTACTTAACCCCATCCTACTTTGCCCGTTAATAGCACGACAAAGCAGCTTCCCCATCAAAACAATATAGTATAGTCTCTCCACATTTTTTGAAAACCAACCTCCAACATTTATTATATTTAATTGACAAAATTATAAATGTGACTCTTCATTCACATTCCATTAATATTTATGTCCTTCAATAAGTAAATATTTAATTTATATTATAAATTAAATACATAAACTGCATATTTTATGTAATTTAATTCACATAGAATGTTATTTAAGATATATGTGTCTACTTATATAATGTTATATTCATTTAAGTGTATATATATGCATATTTTAAAATTAAAAGATATAAATGACAATTTAAGCCGAGTAAAAGAACATGTTTGTATTCTACATATGTTTAATCATATCTTTTTAAATTTATGTAACATTTTTTAATCAGGTTTAAAATATTAACATTTTTCCATGATTAGAAATAATTTAATTGTAAAATTCTTTTTTATCCTTGGAAAATTAAGTTTATAGTCACACAAGTATGTTTGTTTTAGATCATAATTTTCAAAAACAACATATTCAGTATATTTTTATTAATTGAATCTACAAAAAAGCAAAGTATATATAAATCTTATTCTTATCTTATGTAGGTAAATAAACGGATTTTCTTTAAGGGGTGTCAATGGTTATGGTAAAAATTTTTATAATGAGGCATTTGCAAGCCCTTAACCAATAGACTAAACCTTCAACTTGTTTTAAAAGGTGTCAATTTATGTATTTATATTTATTAAACTAAAATTTAACCACTATGTATAACATAATTTTTCGACGAAGGGGTGTGTGTTGCTCAACACCCCTTGACCAAGGTTAGGTTCGACACCATCATATAAAAGATCACGTCTTTGATCAAACAAAAGCTTGTAATGTCATGTCCTACCTAATAACTTTCATCCCTCATCATTCCTCTCAAAATTTGCCTTTCGCACCTACGTTTGTGTGTCTTCTCTTGTCATATCTTGCTTCATTACATCGTATAAAATCGAAGACTATCACATAAATTAGAGGAAGTAGTAAGTAGGTGTAATAGTCTAACTAACGGCAAAAAGCAGACGGCGTCAATCTGAAAACCCAATGAGAATACGACAGCATCAAACGTCTAACCGTACACGCCGTTAATACCTCCTTTATGAATTGTCCCCCTGGACAGTGTCTTAACGACCGGCTATACCCGGTTGAAAAGACAGAAACAAACGGGCTGTAGCAAGTTACCCAACTAGGGTTAAAAATTAACCGCGGTTGAAATGATTTCTGCAACCGTTTTGACCCCTTTGGTTATCGAAAGGCTCTCCCTCTTTCCCTCAATGCTTTTGTGTCTTTTTTCTCTTTCTCTCTCATCACTTACATGAAGAAGCTCCTCCTTCTATCCATTGAAGATAGATACATACACACGCATTTACATACAGTTTAAAGAGAGAGAAACTAGAGCGAGAAAGCTCTTTGAACTTCAATTTTGAGTGTTGATTGCTGTTTCTAGGGTCTCTTTTTTTGCATGTTTTTGAGCTGAGGAGGAGTTCAGTGCTTTTTTTCTGGTGAATTTTGGAGGAGGAAGTTTTATTTTGTGTTTGTTTTTGGAATTGATTAGTGTGGATATGAGAGATCTGTGTTGAGAATTAGTGTACGGAAATGGCTGCTTCGGAGGTATCGATTCAAGGTTACAGCGAGCCGAGTGATGGTTCTAGGCCGGTTTCAGATACTGTTAGGAGTAGTTCCGGTGTCGGAAGAGGTAATTAGAACGGAATTTGAGTGATTTGTTTTATAACTTTCCGGTCAGTTTTCTTATTTGTGTTAGTTTTTGTGTCTACAAAGTTGATGCTGATACGGCGTTGTACACGGAGCTTTGGCGTTCATGTGCCGGTCCACTTGTGACAGTACCTAGAGAGGGTGAGCTCGTGTACTATTTCCCTCAAGGACATATCGAGCAGGTTTGTTTGTAAGAACACTTTAATTTCGTTTTCTACCTTCGTTTTATGGGAAATCCCTTGTTCAATTTCACTTTTAAATACACTGTTGAACATGCATTACCGAGATACTCTGTTTCTCGTAATGATGTTTGTAGCTTGACAGCTTAAATTCAATCACGATCCTTTCCTTTTTGGGGAGAGGGGGTTGGGTTTGAGGTAATTTAGTTGTCAATGGAACTGATTTGCAATAGAGCTTTATGAAATCGATTGTGTTTGAATGATAGGTTGAAGCATCAACAAATCAAGTGGCTGACCAGCAGATGCCTTCGTATAATCTTCCATCTAAAATTCTATGCCGTGTGGTGAATGTCCTGTTAAAGGTAATGGTTTTGTTAATGCTGCTGTGTTAATGTGTTTCCGATTTTTTTTAGCTTACAGTCCTTTTTCCTTTTATGAACATTCTTATCTATACAGTTAGTGCTTAGCTGGTGTTTCTGTGTTGTTGACTTTTGACTGCATTTTCAGGCTGAACCAGATACTGATGAGGTGTATGCACAGGTGACTTTGATGCCGGAGCCAAATGTAGGTTTACAATTATGTTTATTTTTAACTTTTTCCTTTCATTTTTCAATTTTTGGTTTTTTGATCTCATGTTGAATAAAGTAGGTCGAGCTATTCAAATCTTGAATTTCTAGTTGAATAAATCATCTAATATCCTAAATGACTGTTGTAGCAAGATGAGAATACAGTGAAGAAGGAACCAATGCGCCCTCCTCCACCACGATTTCATGTACACTCTTTTTGTAAGACTCTAACAGCCTCTGATACAAGCACTCACGGTGGATTTTCCGTCTTGAGACGACATGCTGATGAATGCCTCCCCCAACTGGTTAGAAGAATATTTCTTAATGTGTTCATGGTTACTGTATTGGGGACATGGAGTGACTAATGATTTTTATTTGCATCGTTAACAGGATATGTCTCGGCAGCCTCCCACACAGGAGTTGGCGGCCAAAGATTTACATGGAAATGAGTGGCGATTCAGGCATATATTCCGGGGTATGATACCCAGCAGAATCTTAATCAACTTTTGTCTTTAAAGCTTACCCCCTCCACCCCTGTTTGGCCTATTTATGCCCTTTGAGAGCTTAAGCGGAAGGCAATAAAGGCCAGGTCTCCTTTTGGGGAGTGAGGGCGGGGGTGGGAGAGTGGGGTGGGTGCAACATAGAGATGCACCATCACACAGCACATTCTTCCCTATTAAGTGCCATTATTGGTGTATAATACCAGTTGCATTCTTGTAATCACGCGGCCAAATGAAGATTGCTACAAACCTGATGTGGCTCTTGTAAAAATATTAAGTAGATTATTTAGGATTTTACAAAAGGAAAATTTGAAGAAAGAAGAGCGATGCAAATTTCATTTGAACAATACTTTAGTGGTTTAAGAAATTCTTCTGTCTTTGCGTTTCATATCATGTTTGTTACCTATATAATAATTAACATAGTGTCACAACTCAAAGGAAGAACAACATAGTGTCACAGCTCAAAAGAAAAATAATGTTAGGAACCAATATTGATTTTTCATTTCCTTCTTTCGGACGGTGCTTTTGGGGGAGGGTAGGGGAGAAGTCGGTTAACAAAATTGCGCTTCTGTAAACACAAAGTTGCTAGATTTTCATTTCTCCTTTTCTTCATATTCAAAATTGTCTTTGGAAGTCTGGTAACATGCTTCTTTATTTACCGTGCACTGTATGCCATTATTGGAGGGTTGGTGTGTTTTTCTTGCTATGAAACCTCTGGTTTGTTTCTCACCCAAGCATTTGAACTCCAGGCCAACCTAGGAGGCATCTTCTTCAGAGTGGTTGGAGTGTCTTTGTTAGTTCGAAGAGGCTTGTTGCTGGGGATGCATTCATATTTCTTAGGTTCGATTCGTGAAACCCTCTCTGAATTTATTTGTTCCATTTTTAGAATCTGACTAGTAGTGTTGTGCTACTTTAGAGGTGAGAATGGGGAGCTTCGTGTTGGAGTTAGACGTGCCATGAGACAGCAAGGAAATGCTCCATCATCGGTGATATCCAGTCATAGCATGCATCTTGGTGTACTTGCAACAGCTTGGCATGCCATTCAAACAAAAACGATGTTCACTGTGTATTACAAACCAAGGTACCTGGTCTGAAATGACTAAATAAAGCACCGACTGAAAGGATGTAACTAGAGATCTTTGATTATAAGTTAAATGTTACATTTAGTCTTTCTCCGGAGGTTGGAAACTTGGAACAGTAGCTCATGTTGTTTTATTGCTTGTTGTCTAAACATTTGGAAACATTTTATAGTATTTCTCCAGTGGTTGGTATTAATAGTACATGTTGTTTCATTGGTTGTCCTCTATGCATTTGGGAACCATTTTATTTTAATCGGTTGCCCACTAGAATACCTGGCTGCTTCGTATGTTTGATGGCCTCCTAATATCAATAACTCAACATACTTTTACCATTTATTTTTTGATTGGTATCTTTTATGTCCATTTATTGGGGAAAGTAGGGTGAGAAAGTAGGTACTTGAATTATTGTTGGTGTTTAACATTGACAAAAGGATTAAACCTTCCTTGCTAACTTACTGTTATGTTACAGGACAAGCCCTACTGAGTTTATAGTTCCATATGACCACTATATGGAATCTGTGAAGAACAATTACTCTATTGGAATGAGGTTTAAGATGAGGTTTGAAGGTGAAGAAGCTCCAGAGCAAAGGTGGGCAGCAGTTTATTTTATAGAAATCATCTTTTTACTGTTTAAATTGTGAGTTGCAGGTTGTAATCTTGATCTGTGTAATGGACTAATTGACGGGATAAAATGACAGTCATTTGGTGACTGGCTGTTGATCATTTAGACTGTTGATTTAATTTTTCTGTAGCAGGGTATTTTCTATTCAATTCTATAATTTAACCAACTTACAATGTTTTATAGGTTTACTGGAACTATAGTTGGCATTGAAGATGCTGATCCCCAAAGGTGGCTTGAATCTAAGTGGAGATGTCTGAAGGTAGTTTCTACTTTATTTTCCTGGTTTGACTGTTTCTTTTACCTCATATCACATTGAAAGTCATTCATTTCTGGTTTCTTTAGGTCCGGTGGGATGAAAATTCTAGCATTCCAAGGCCAGACCGAGTTTCACCCTGGAAAATAGAACCAGCTCTTAGCCCTCCTGCACTTAATGCACCTCCAGTCGCAAGGCCAAAAAGGCCTAGATCCAGTATTTTGCCCTCATCTCCTGATTCATCTGTCCTTACTAGGGAAGGTGGATATCTCATCCTGATTTTTTCTATTCAGTATCTTGCACCGCTTATAAGTCTTGTGTTCGATCTAAGTAATTGTCATGTACTTTCTTATTTTTTGTTAAAGGTTCATCAAGAGTGACAGCAGACCATTCCCAAGCCAGTGGGTTTCCGAGGGTCTTGCAAGGTCAAGAGTTATCTACCTTTAGAGGCGGCTTTGCAGAAAGTAATGAGACAGACTTGTCTGAGAAACCAATGATATGGCAACCATCAGTGAATGATGAAAAGAATGATATTCATTCTGCATCAAAGAGATATCTTCCAGATAAATGGCTACCTTTAGGGAGGCCTGAGTCATCTCTCACAGATTTATTATCAGGTTTTGGAGTGCCAAATAACTCCTCCCATGGGTTCTGTCCCTCTGCGGACCAAGCTGCATTTGGTGCTAGCTTGGTGAAGCAACAAACACAAGATCAGGAAAAGGATTTTAGCTTATTGGGAAAGCCTTGGTCTCTTCTGTCTTCTGGTCTCTCTCTTAATCTGATGGATTCTGGCTCCAAAGCTCCTGGCATAGGGGGTGATACTCCCTATCAAATGCGGGGAGATGCTAGGTATAGTGGTTATGGTGAGTTTTCAGTCCTCCCCGGTCATAGGGTTGCAAATCAGCAGGGAAGCTGGATTATGCCTCAACCAGTGTCGCCTTACATGCAGCTCTCCTCTCATTCAAGAGAAATGATGCATAAACCCACTGTAGTAAAGCAACCTGAGGCTGTGAAACCCAAAGAGGGTAACTGCAAACTATTTGGCATTCCCCTGACAAGTAATGTTTGCACAGATCCTGTTATGATGCGGAAAAGTTCATTGATTGATCCACCAAGTGATATGAATATTGGTATACACCCTCATCAATCCCTTGCCACTGATTCTGATCAAAGGTCTGAGCAATCAAAGGGATCAAAGGTGGATGATGGAATTGCAGCTAATGATCATGACAAACAATTTCATGCCTTTCATCTTTCTGCTAGAGATAGGGATGGTAAAGGTCATAGTAGTTCTACAAGGAGCTGCACAAAGGTTTAAATCTGATCTTTTGTCACAACTTTAGCTGTTGGCTTTAATGAAATTTCTAATGATTTATTTTTGCCTACAGGTTCATAAACAGGGTACAGCACTCGGAAGGTCCGTAGATCTTGCAAAGTTCAACAATTATGACGAATTGATTGCTGAACTGGATCAACTTTTTGATTTTAATGGTGAACTCAAGGCTCGGAGTAAGAGTTGGCTGGTTGTATATACTGATGATGAGGGTGACATGATGCTTGTTGGAGATGATCCATGGCAGTGAGTACTTAATATCATTGCTTTTATATATCAAAGTGATTATTTTCTTTCCTCCTGCGCTCTGCTTACTTGTGTAGTTTTTCTAGATCAGTGCTGTGTTTTTTGTATTTATTACATTATCTTATCGGCTTGCACTGGTTTGAAACAGGGAATTTTGTGGTATGGTTCGCAAGATTTTCATCTATACAAAAGAGGAGGTGCAGCGTATGAATCCAGGGACCCTTAATTCAAAAGGCGAGGACACTTCTTCTGTCGCTGAGGGCTCAGACGCTAAAGAAGTGAAGAATCTGCAACTTCCTTCTGAATCTGGTCAAGCAGAATCTTAGGTTTTCCTCCAAAATTGAGGTACTCGGAAAAGATGTACTTGAAGAGCAAGTGATTCCTTTTTGCTTCAGTTTTTTGAAAACATTTTCCCTGTAAATTAGGGTGGGAGATGCCTCCAAGTGTTTTTGCTTAATTACTGTTGTTTTGTATTTGACAGGTTTATAAGATAGCGAGGAGATGGCTTTTATCCACCTAGGTGTTACTTTTTTGGGGATTTTTGAATATAACCTACAATATCAACTCCCTTTGACTTCTGGATGGGGATGCTCTCTTCATATAAATGCAGCTTCAGTATTTGCAGTTTTGAACCCTTTTTTGGAGCCAATATCTGGCCCCTTATCTATCTATACATAGTATATGTAAATTATCAGCGTTGGTCATTAACCTTGCTTCTGCCAATCTCACTTTGTACATACCAATTTCTCTAGCTGTAGCTGTAAGTAAGATTTCGATTCTACTATGTATGTACCTGCCTTACTGTTGATTTTTGTGGAAGTGGTATACAACTGCTTTGGGCAGATAACATATTTTGTATCAGCAATTATGGTAATGCGATAGAAAAAAAGTTTTTTCTGAGTGAAGAGCTTTTTGTGTTGTGCAATTTTGGTCATTGGCCTATCTATCTATCTATTCTTGTTGGCCAGGTTCCTTACCCATTGTCTTCTACACAACCATATTGCTGTTTGCGTTTGGAAAGTTGGGCTAATCAAGTAGTTGTATTAATGTTTGATATTTGAATTATAGGATAGTGTGATTTGGTAGAGCAGCAGGACATTGTAAATTCTTCATACTGGGTTTGGGTTCTTCTTCACGGATGCTTTATGTAGCAAGCCAAGGTCTTCTTTTCGTGTTAGATGATTAGTTTTGTTAGAAGACAGAAATGGCAAGCTACCAAAATTCAGTTAGTATACTACGTAAAAGAACACAAACTCAAATATATCTTGCATAATCATCCTGGAACAAGAACTTCACAATTGCAATAGTATTCTATAGGGGCGTAAAAAATGAGTCCAATTATAGGTAACCTGTCCAACCCGTCTAGAATTTTAAGGGTTGGACTTCAAATTATTTGAATTAGGTTCAATTTCAACTTATTCAAGTCCTAATTCATTTTTAAGAGAATCTTCAATTGAACTCAATTTAATCTTAATTTCAATTTGTTTTAAAATATTTTTTTTGCAATAATGTAATGTATGTATGTTTGAATTACTATCTATTTTATATCTTTTAGGATTTCTCAGCCCAAAAAGTTGCTAAATTGGACGTGGATTCATGCTCAAACAAAGGGATTTTGGTGCCAAGGATTCACTTTTCTTTCCTTGTTTTTATTAGATAGTTTTTTGGCAAGAATTTTGGTAGTATCTTTACATTCCTTTTAGCTAGATTTTAGTATTTAGTTATTGCCATACATGTTATTTGGTATAGATTTTCCCTAGATATAGCGGTGAATTTTATTATTTTTTATTTACAAGAACAATATTATTATTATTTGATAGTTTGTCTTCTTTACACCTCTTTTGAGGGGTAAGATTAGTTGACATGGTAGAGGGACAAATATGATCCTTTTCCGTTGATTTTATTAGTATCATGATTAGCCTTAATCCGTTAATTTTAGTTTCCTTCTTTATTTTGGGCTCGTTGGGCCATTTTGTACATATTCTTTGATTAATAAATGAGCTCCTAAGCTCAATAAATTCAATTAAAAGAAAAAAAAAAAAAAAGAACTTTGAGAATTTTATTATCTTTAATCTTCGTATTTTCATTTCCGCATTATTTTCTTATTTTTTCCAAGTAAGGTGATTCTTATCACAGTCGCTAAGTATTTGTCTAACATAATTATCGTTGCAAATATTATTGTATTAATCGGATTTTAATTAGGCAAAAGTTTAATTCCATTGAGTGATCATTTCATTTATATATATATATCTGTGAATTCTCATTTTCTCAACTGAAATGAAAAGCAGTTACTGTAAATAAAGAAAGATCAAGCTGGACTAGGAACTTGTTGAAAGGACTATTATCATAGCATTCAGTTTTGGAGCTTCATAAGCTCAATGTTTCTCCTAAAGAAAACACCAATATAACTGACTAAAAAAGAAACGACAACCCGGTGCACTAAGCTCCCGCAATGAGCGGGGTCCCGGGAAGGGTCGGACCACCATGGCCTGTAACCATCTAATTACATGAAAACATAAGTAAACTAAAAAAGCAGTATAGGAAGTCTGAGGTCTAAAAGCTATAGCACCCTGAGGTCCAAAATCTTCGATAGAGCCTCTCCTTCGTATACCAGAGCAGCTTATATCACCCCCCCATTAAAGCCAGCAGAGTCCATCAACACAGCTTTGATCTGATCTGGATGAATGTCTTGACCTTCGTTCGATTGCTGCAATTAAATACAATCTAAAATTAAATACTATTACATTTTTAATCCTACTGTCCAAGATGGAAGTTAACAGAAAGAAGGTACCTCAGCTCGGAAGACATCCAACACAAACCCATTGAAGCAGCTGATAACAGCTTGTTGAATGTCCAGTCCAAGACTGTCCAGAGCCTTCATTGTTGAGAGTAAAACCCCTGGTTTGCGGCTGCAGATCATATGAATGTTCACCGCTCTTCCTTCCCTGACCCTCACTTCAATCTACATGAATAAAAAGAACAACCAATGCATCATTCGAAACCAATAACATAATGAATAATTCTAAAAGAATGAGATGCCAAGATTACCCTTGCAGGTTGGCCAGTAGGGCTGGACAGGGGGCTCGGAAACGAACTTGGAACAAGTTCCTCCTTTATACGACTTGGCAGAGCTGACGCAGTTGGTGTCAGAGGATAGAAGCTGGTTGCTGGACTCAATGAAGAGTTAGCTGGTGTGGACTCCAACTCATTATGCAGCTCATTGATGTCCTGCTGAAGCTCCTTCAAGTACTTAATTGCATCTCCTAAGATAGAAGCCCTGTCCATCTGCCAACATACAAACCAAATCAACTAATTCACCAAGAGGGAAAGAGTGATTACTTGTCCCAACAATTGTTCATACAACAAGCCAGTGAAATAGATAACAACTCTTTACTGTAGGGGGAGGTACTTTTCAAGAATAGTTCTATTCCCTATGTGGTCCAAAATTAAGATGCTTTTAAAAATCATCTCATACAGTCCATGTGAGTGAATTAAATGCTACACTATCAGTTTGTACTTAATTTTTGAACTATGCAAAACTCTTACCACAAGTTAATCTTAACAAAAAGGAAACTAAATAAATGGAAGCTAAATGCTGATGATTGTAAATGGCTAAAACATGTTAAATTCGTAATCGAAATTCACGAGAATTTTCTGTAAAAAAAAATTCATACCTTAGTAATCTTTGGGACTACAGATCTCAGCATGTAAAGCCTGTCATTAAGCTTCTTTCTGCGGCGTCGCTCGGCCATCAGATTCTTAGCTGGAAGTCCCTTCTTCTTCCCCTTTTGATCAGCACCACTGACAGTGCTGGCTGCATTTGAGCTGTTTTCTCCTATTTTGATCCCATCTTCGGTTTTGTTAGAGATATCGATGAACTCATCCGAGTCGTAATTCAACGTTCCATCCATGCTAATATCTTCAAATTCATCATTGATGCTGAACTTCCTTTTACTATCGTTCCATTCCTTATTCTTATCAAAACCTTTCAGATTACTGGAAGATTGACCGATTTCTGTACCTAAGCCCCCTAAATTTTCACCATGGTTGCCCAAGTTCTTAGCAATCCTTTTCTGGAAAAGAGTTGGCTGTGCTCCAATCGAAGCAAAATTATCTAAAGGTTTATGAGTTCTAGACCGATTCAGAAACAAAGTGTTTCCGTTAGCAGAATTGTTGTCCCCAAACCCCATGGAACTATACCCACCTGCTACCTGAGGTATCTGGAGCAGATTAGGAGAAGAAAACTGAGTATAAGAACTCAGATTGTTCGTCCCCAACTGGTTTTGTGAACCCAGATGATGAAACCCAGTGTTTATCATCCCATTCCCACCTTGATTCATTGCACCCAACGAATTGAAGCTGCTCTCCAATGGGTTGTTGGATAACCCAGTGAGTGAAGGAGGAATAGTAGATTTTTGGGGCATGAAGAAGTTTACCTGAGAAGGGTCAAGGTTGTTGAAAACACTTCCAGAAACAGGCGAGCAAGAGGATGAAGAATCCACAGGCTGCAGAAGCAAATTGTTTTCAGCTTCAGTGAAACTCGTAGAGTAAGAAATGTGGCTCTGCATGTTGCCACCACCACCACCACCACCATTGTTGTTGTTGTTGATGTGATGATTGTTATTAGCAGCACCACCCATGAACCACTCCACACCTCCATCGTCAACCATAGCTTGGAAATTAGAAAAACCACCATTGTTCTGTTGATGATTTTCATTGGGAAAACCACCATTGTTCTGTTGATGATTTTCATTGTTACCATTATTCTGATTAACCCAAGCACCAGTTCCTCCATCCTCCTTACCATCCATCCAACCCATACCATTCATCCCAGGCATCATTTTTTCTGAAAAAAACAAGTTAAACAGAAAGAATAATCAAAAGGGTGTTACTAAAAAACAACAAAAACAAAAACAAAAACAGAAAAGGGGTTTCAAAAGAAGCAGAAAAACAGGGGAAAAGATATACAGAGTAGCAGCAGAGAAGAAAGGTAAATACCTTTTTTTTCCCTTTATATGAGAGAGAAGACAACTTAACACAGAGAGAGAAAACTCTGCTCTGCTATCACTATTATTACTACTAAACTTTCTGCTTCTGCAAATCCACAGTTAAGCCTGAATTTATAGCAATATTTGCCAACTGATTATGGTAAGTAATGATTAGTTTTTTGGATGGATTCTTGATCTTCCTATGGAAGAGATAAAAATGGCAAATTTCTGGGCTTTATTTTGTAATTAAGCAAAACAAAGTCATTATTAAAGTTGACAGAAGTTTGGCTTCTTCTATTCAAGATACTTTCTTATTTTGTTTTTAAGACAAACAAACCAGTCTACCTACTTCTTTTATTTTGTCTTTACGCGATGTCTGGTATTTGTTTCGTGACTACTTATTTTCCATTTTTTTAAAATGGAAGATTACACGAGGTATTTTATTGATATTTGTAATTGAAATTACTTAACTTTGAAATTCGTGTGTTCATACAAAGTGTATTATTGATATTTGTATTGAAATTCACGTGTTCATACGAGGTGTTTTGTTGATATTTGTATTAAAATCACTTAATATTAAGTTCATGAGTTTATACATAGTGTAATATATTCCTTAACAAAAAGGAATTCATATTTTAGACTTGAGAATCTATAGTTAAAAATGAAAAAATATATATTTATTAATTTATTAGTATATTCAAGGGATAAGGGTCTGAAAAATATCTCAACTTTGGCCGAAATTGTTGTTACGATACCAAACTTTATGAAGGACCTATTACCCCCTGAATTATTTAATAGTGTATTTTTTTTATCCCCTGAACTATTTAATAGTATATTTTAAAGGTATATATGTGTCCACGT